AATTTGAATGGATTGTATTATGTCATGTTACGTTTGTGTTTTTGTCAATACCCAGTATTGTGTTCCTGTGCTTTTACCAGTTTCGTCCATCAGACCAGACCAAGTGCGCAGAAAGTCATCCTCTCAGGTTCATGAGTTACGATTTATTTCTGTCTGATGGACTCTTAGTTGAGCCTCAAGACGATAAGTTGTAAAAGCCAAGGCCGGTTAATTGGGACTCAAACACGAGTATCTCCTTAAGCCATAGAAAATTCTACACTGTAGGGAAGACTTGGTGATGGGAGAGTTGTTGCTGTGAAGAAACTCTCTATAACATCCGACCAAGGAGAGAATCAGTTTCTAGCAAAAATTGTGACGATATCTGCTGTTCAACATCGCAACCTCGTAAAGTTGTATGGATGTTGTGTACATGGTGATACACGCCTCCTTGTGTATGAGTTTCTAGAGAACAGTAGCCTCAATCATGCCTTATTTGGTAAGTGTCAATACTCTGCATTTTATTGATATTCCCATCGATGCAAAAATGGTAGACACAATATTACTAATGACATGAATGACAAAACAAGTCTTCTTATTGACTGGGGCACTCGTTATGGTATATGCTTGGGCATAGCACGAGGACTAGCTTATCTTCATGAAGAATCAAGAGTTAGAATTGTGCACAGAGATGTGAAGGCCAGCAATATTCTACTTGATTCAAGTCTTAACCCAAAAATTTCGGACTTTGGATTGGCGAAGCTTTACAATGATAAAATGACTCACATAAGCACTAGAATTGCAGGAACAATGTAAGTACTGAACACTTAGCCTCTTTGCTTTCTGATTATAAATGTTTTCATACATATAAATCTATGTGTATACCTTTGCATCTTATTTTCTGGGACTGGAATAGTGGGTATCTGGCACCGGAGTATGCGATGCGTGGGCACCTAACTGAGAAGACTGATGTCTTTGCCTTTGGCGTGATGGCTTTAGAGATTGTTGGTGAAAAGCCAAATTGTGCATCTGAAGAAGAGGCATCTCTGCTTGAGTGGGTAAGGATGAAAGGAATTATTTGCATATGGATCTTTTAAGTTTGTTTAAGTTATTTTTTATTTTGTCCGACGGAATTTAGAGGATCCGGAACCCTTCTCAAATTTCTTTCAATTGACTTTGAGAAATTGATAATGAAATGTTGGGTCGACATGGCAGAAGCCCAATACCTTCACATGAGGAGATAACAAAAAGAGATACTAAATTCGAACCTTAAGCCAATGAGTTATAAGCCAATTAATTGCTCCACATTACACCACATTCCCAATGTGAGACTTTTTTCGCTTTACACGAGCACTTTAACAAATCTTATCATTAGCCTACCAAATATCCCCTCGCGAGCCCAAGTCCGAACCCATCAATTTATTTAGTTTGATCTACCTTCACTTAAAAGCTTAAGCTAATGAATTATGAGTCAACTAGAATATATTAACTACTTTACATTATACCATGTTCCCGATGTGGGAACTCACACGTGCTTCTTAACACGTAGGCGTGTGCACCTTGTATGTGCGTATGTAAGAGGTAATGCATATGTATGTTTATGCTTGTTACGTGTAGGGATGCATTCGTCCATATTTCTTTATATATCAGATTATGAGGGGCGTGTGAGATGGCATTGCGTACTTATCATTCTCCGATGATGAAGACAAGTTGTATGTGTTAACATTTATAAAGAAAATTCAACTGCTTGTGCTTCAGTTAAAAGATGTACTCCTTATCTAATTCGATGTGCTGAACTAACGATATATAGCCTCCTTTACTGAACCAACGCTTTTTTTAGATTAATGATATTATAATAGAAAAATCAGCAACCAAATTTGATTTGAAAGGGTGCAGATAATCCGCTTCAATCTGCACATTGACAGAAAGAAATGGGCATCTTTCTAAAGAAAACGATAGTTGTGAAGGGATCGACTCCTTTAATATCTTAACCTTTAGGGGAAAAGAATATGGCAAAATCACCTTTTGTTATTCATTGGTAATAGTCTTCTGGTTTTTGATCACGCACTTTAATTTGCTGATTTTGCTACAATGTTTTGCTTTCAAGGCCTGGCACCTGTACGAGAACGAGCGACAGGTCGAAATGGTGGACCCTAGATTATCAGAATTTGAAGAGGAGGAAGTTAAAAAAGTGATTCATGTGGCCCTCCTCTGCTCCCAGATGCAGCCGTCTCTAAGGCCCCCGATGTCCAGTGTAGTGGCGATGCTTCTGGGCCACACCAATGTCATCCCTGTGCCTTCAAAGCCAGGTTACTTGACTGACATGTTTGGCAGTTTTGTCAATTTGATGAGCAGAACAGTGATGGAGGGGAACTTGCGCAACGACGACTCATCTCCAAATATGAGCCTGGCCAACACTGGAGAAGAGTCACCCCCGAATGCCATCAAGCCGATCCTATGTGAGTGTCTATGTAAACTGCTAAGTTGGTCATATCTCTTTTATTTATCTTTCTGCTGTGGTTAAGCTCATGAAACTCCTGTAAGTGCTCAGTTTTTTCTTTTCCCCTTTCCATTGGTTTGCCTGAATCTTGTGGTGACAATTTGGATTTGGTGGTGGCATGTAAAGTGATAACATATCTTCATCAAAAGTCATAACTTTCTTGTTTTTGTAACAAAATCCGTCTTCAAGTCACGAATCTCATAATCCTTGCAAGTCACCTCCGCAAATCATAGGCATTCCCCTTTTCTTTGGCTTCCACTGCTATTTACATAAATGTTAAGTATAAGCTTAGTTTTGAACTCTCTTCTTAAACAGGGGAAATCCAGAAAGCTTAGTGATGAAGCAGCTGATTGAACTGAAGCAATCGCATGACTTGACGTGAGATGTGAAGATTAATCTGAGGCATTGTTCGATGTCTAGAGACTGCATTGAGAATGAATATCGACAATGTGTCATTTCTTTCACAGTATTGACCAGTTGTTTCATCAATCCGGCGACAGTTCTGGGGAAGGTGTCCGTTAAGCAAAGCTATTTTGCATCTATAGGTAAGGGAAAATAAACAATGATCTGGTTACTAGCATCTAGTGTCATAGAAAAGCAGAGTCTGGAGTTTTCTCATTAAATGTTCAAGTCAACGACCATTGAAGAGTTGACCGATCACTTTATCACCTGTCTATTGCGTACATTTGCCATCTTAATTTGTTGGAACAAGAACATCAAATTCACACGTGGATGTGTGTCCAAATGGGACTTGGTCAAGAATTCACACCAGCTGTGTAGTAGCACTTCTACCCAGAGAGCAGAACTTGGTAGCCTTTGCCTAAGGGACAATTGAAATTTGGACAAGCAATGGCCGACTACTTCGGCTCTCACAGCTTCTCGACTCTCTGCCTCCTTAGCTTCGCGCTCCTCCTGCAGCGCAATGTAGCGAGTTGAAAAGGAGAAAAATCAGAACGACGAAATCTTTTTTCTTTTTCTGATTTCACGGTATTGCGTGATCGATTCAATCTAATGCACATCAAATCTCTGTGGTCTTGGTGCTGCCTTATTCACTTGGTCCATAGTCCTCTTCGACTTCAGGCATCACACGATCCCAGTACTGGCCCTCTTCTTCTAGGCAATACTTCATCCTCTGTGGTTTTGGTGTCCGATTGTTAAATATTAAGAAAGCCACGTACCAGTGCATTTATCATCAAAATAATGTCACGTCACATTTTTTCCGACACTACAAGTCACTAGAGTTACATATGTGAAATACATGAGCATTTGAAAAGTTGTCACGCTAAACAGAACACCGTATGAAAATTTTGGTACTTCTGATGTATTTTTCTCTAAAATAAACTAAATAGAGTGTTTTTTTTTCGATGGAGAAAGAACAACGAATATATTATTTCCTTTTTTTTTCACTTTGATGAGAATTTAAAAAGAAAAAAATAGTCTTTATATACAATCCAAACACGCTTTGGCTCAACTATATCAAACTTGTTGCTAAAACAAGGGAAAATTCCAATTAAAGACCCCAAGTGGGGTCTTTTTCTCAAAAGAGGACCCTAAGTGGACATAGTGTCAAATAAAGGCCTGAAGTGCCCAATCAGTCTCAAATAGGGGTCCGAAGTGCCCAATTAATCTCAAGTAAGAGCTTAGGTTCACCGGTCGGTCAAATGCTTGCTAGCCGGCAAGGACGTCACTGTTTCGACAGGACAATTTCGTCTTTTACTCTCTCTCTTTTTTTCTCTTTTCCTTTTCCTTTTCTTCTTCTTCTTCTTTTTTTTTTTTTTCTCTTTTCCCTCCCCGGCCATAGTCGGAGCCGGCGGAGGTGGTCGACCTCAGGTGGAGGCCGCCCTCGCCGGTGTCGAGCAAGGGCCGCCCGACGCCGGCGAGGGAAACCCAGGGTCGGCCCTCGCCTGGGCTGGGCAAGCGAGGGCGAGGGTTGCCCTCGCCAGATCTGGCGAGGGTTGCCCTCGCCCGCCCAGCCCAGGCGAGGGCGGCCTCTGCCTGAGGCTGGCCACCTCCGCCGGCGGAGGGAAAAGAGAAAAAAAAGAAGAAGAAGAAAAGGAAAAGGAAAAGAGAAAAAAAAAAAAAAAGACGAAATTGCCCTCCCGGAACAGTGACTTCCTTGCCGGCTGGCGAGCATTTGATCTGCCAACGAACCCAGACCCTTACTTAAGACTAATTGGGCACTTTGGATCCCTATTTGAGACTGATTGGGCACTTCAGGCCCTTATTTGACACTATGTCCACTTGAGGTCTTCTTTTGAGAAAAAGACCCCACTTGGGATCCTTAATTTGAATTTTCCCCTAAAACAATATAGGCAAAATTTCAAATAAGGACCCGAAGTAGGGCTATCTTAGCAAATAATGATTCGAAGTGGACATTGTCTCAAATAAGGACCTAAAGTGACTAAACTAGTCTCAAATAAAGACCTAAACTCGCCGGCCGGCCAAATGTTTGCTGGCCGACAAGTGTGTGACATTTCCGGTGACTAGAATATGGGTAATTTTGTCCCAAAAAATATGGATAAAAACTAACAAACCCCAAAAGAAAAAAAAAAGCCCAAATTCTTGACGTTCTTGTTCTTCTGCTCTTCGTCTTCTACGTTCTTTCTTCCCTCTTACTTGGAGCACCCAAATTCTCCGGTATGGAGCACGATCCCCGACTCCCCGAGTTTTAAAAGTACGTGCTCTCTCTCTCTCCGTCTCTCGGTTGGGTCCGTGGAAGTTGATTCGAATTGTGATCGAGATGTGGGTACTCGAGGTCGAGATGTTCGTGGAGTACCCAAAAATACTCTGTTTGTGGGCACTCGTTGCTCGAGATGTGGGTACTCAAATTCTCTGTTCCAGAGTTGAAAAGGTGATGGAATCTGTTCATATTGCTGCCAACAAAAACACTGCTGCAGGAGATGTATCTGCCATGGTTCCTAGTGGCATTAGAATGGGTAGAGGGGTAGAGGCTTCTTATGGACTAGATTGTGCTTCCAGGTTCAGGGTTTTTATGTTGGTTACTTATGGACTAGATTGTGCTTTCAGGTTTAGGGTTTTTATGTTGGTTACTTAAGAATTTGTCCATCTTTTTGTATTCTTGTCGAAGAGGACTCTGTGAAATTAGCTGAGTTCTTTGATGCTGCCTACGGTTTGGCAGTGAAAATCAAGGCCGAAACCAAAGGTGAATGGTTCTACCAAAATCATTTTTCTCTCTGCCAATTATACTTGGTTCAAATCACCTCATGCAATCAAGCATGCTTAATGCTTTTTCTCTACTGCTTCCTCTTTCTGGTTCACGCCTTCATCCTTTAACTTATTCTATAGTCTATTCAATGTTCTATGCTAGAAAATTTGGTCCAACAGGAACAAAGTTGAAGGACTTCTTGGCCACAATGCAATCTTCCCCTCACTTTCAATCAGAGATTGCTTAACTTCAAGGAGTATGCAAAGCAATTTCCTACAATTGGGTTCGAGAAAACAACAATGAAGTACAAAAACTGAGGGAGAAATCATGGGTTAGTATGGTACTAAATCGATTGTGAGGAAGAAGTGCTGCTGCCGGTACTAATTTCGATGTCAAGAAAGTCTGTATCGTGATCTCCCTATCTGAATATCATCTATGGGAAGAGAGAAGATGCAAGTATCTATTTGTGCTTGACTTTGTCATAAAATTGTTCTTACTTGTACTTGCCTTTGTTTTGACTAGTGATTTATTTTGTGATTCAACTGTAGGTAAAGAGGAGAATGTAAGGACCTTAACATGAAAGTGGTCGAAGACGAGCAACTTTTTTGAGATATGCAAGACCAATAAGACCAACAACACAAACTCTTTCTGTTTTACTATTAGTTAATATGGATGGCTCTATTTTGGAAGCATCTTAAAGTTACAGTATGTATAGGTAAACTATGTTGAGAAGATTTCTTGTGTTGGGATGTTTCTCTTTGCCATCATACAATGTGGATCAATTCAAGTTTATCTAATGCTATTTAGTTTGCTATGGAATGTCCCAGCACTTCATTGTAGTATAGTAGTATCGACAAGTTTAAATGAGCTCATCAATCCAACAAGAAAAAATAAAATATAGAACAGCAACATAAAAAAGAAAAAATGACCTGCAAAGAGCAATGAGCACAACAGTCCAACAACACACTAAGTTAAAATGCCCTATAGTATAGGCCAAAGAAAATATATAGAATATCAATGGGCTCCGTCAAAGCTTGTAGACAGTTCAAAACAAATTTCTTGAGCTCTATACACGACAAAATATAGAACAGCCGACATAAATGAAACCAAAGACAGCTTGTGGTACCAAAAAGCATCATCATTAACTCATCATTAAACACTTGAATTAATTGAACTTCAATAGTTCCATTACAAAAATAGATAACAACAAAGTATACAACTTTAATTTTGTGCGCACAACACTACAAGAAAGAGAAGACAACATATGAGTTTGACAAAACAACCTCTCACTGATTATATGCAGTGATCACAGCCCACCCTACTACAACCAATCTAAAGCACCCAACAAGAGCTGGAAGACTTTACTACTGGGTTGATGAATTGATGCGATTATAGTTCTTCTGATTCCATCTCTTTGGTCCAAGCAAGCTATTTTGCTCATGACATAAGAGGATGTTGCCCTGTCGAGTCCACTGGTTGGTTCATCGAGGAAGAGAAGCTTTGGGTGGGTGACAATTTCCAGGCAGATGCTAACTCTTCTCTCTTGACTACCACTTGGTCCTTTGGACCCCTAGCCTCCAATTCTTGTGTCCATGGCATCTTATAGTCCCATTTCCCTTATTACCATTTCTGTTCTTTCCCTCTTCTCGGGTACTGGCATGGAGTCTGGCAATTGTAGCTGAGATGTGTAGTGGACAGCTTCTCTCACAGTTAGCCTTGTTTGTCAATACGTCGTCTTGCATCACTAAAGGCCTGAATTCATAAGAATGGAGAACCGCAACAGAGATTGACGAGCATCGAAGATTTTCCAAGAACTCTAAAAAATTCCAACAACGGAAAAGCACATTATCTGATTAAAGAAAGCATCTGCAACAGAGATTGACGAGCAGAATGCGACTAAAATGCGGTCACCGTTACTTGGCCTCTGAACATTGTGACTGAGGAAAGCGCCTCCCAGAGAGACAACCCCTCCCCTCGCCGCCATGGTCTCCCAAGCGGTGCACGCGAACGACGAACTTGAACCTTGTGGACAATGAAGCCTTTGGAAAAAAGAGACGGGGAACGATAGACTGATGCTCGCGAGGAGCGGGAGCGACCGGGCAGCGATTTGATTGAGGAGCAGCGGGGGAGAGGAAGAAGAAAACGAAGACGTTTGAAGGAATAACCTGAACTTAATTCAACTTGGGGTTTTTCCTTTTTTTTTTTAGCCAATTACAAATTTCGAACAAAATTACCCCTATTTTAATCGCAGGAAACTGTCCACACCGGTGAACATTTGGCCGGCCGGCAAGTGAGGCCCTTATTTGAGACTAACTAGGTCACTTGATATCCTTATTTAAAATAACATCCATTTTAAGTTCTTATTTGAGAAAATGAGTCCACTTCGAGTTCTTATTTAGAATTTTCCCGAAAAAAAATTCAAAAGATTATTATTAAAAAAATTATCCGCGTCACTGACACTGATTGAACTGTTACGTCAGCGTTTTCTGGTCAAACTTACTCGGAATGACTGCAGTGACAAACTGTCAAAAGGTTTAGAACTGAATTGACACAAACGCGATAAATTTAAGACTTTTTTATAATTTTTCTGTTAAATCATGCATGACCAGAGGTGAACAGTGGTTGGAAAATCTTAGACGATTTTAGCCGTCATAACGTTGGCTTCTTGCGGTCCACGCGATTTGGGTATTAGCATGATTTCCAGCTGTATCTCATCGACATATGACGTGACGTCGTGCCGCGTATATCATGTTTGGAAATGGTTGCAAGTAAGGCCAAAAGGCTTGACCAGCTGGTCTATGCCCCCAACGTGAAGCAATACGGTTAGCATTTCCCGAATCTTCATCCGTTTGCCCGATGAGAACTTCATTGGCTCTGACTTGACCGGCTAAATCCAGCAGCAGAAGATAAAGGTCGCGCTGATGCGTGTTTCAGATAATGCTTGGCTCTCTTGTATTAAAGAAATCAATGGAGTCCATGCATCTCCCTTCGAGATTCGTCTTCCTCTTCCTCTTCCTCTTCCTCGCTTCCTTTCTCTGGGTAATCCTCGACAAGGCCATGGCTGAAGGTGTTACTACAGTAACTGTGCATTCACCTGCAGCTCCACCTCCACCTGGAGGAACTATGTATGTGTACCCACGTACAGCTCCACAACCATCTGAAGCTGACACTAGAGTTCCTGTGGGCGGACCTCCAGATCCACTTGACGGTCCTCTCTCTCTCTCTCTCTCTCTCTCTCTCTCTCTCTCTCTCAATTGCTCATGCATACATGAGGTTAAAATGGGTCTAATCACACAAATAACTCGAGCCACCCATAAGATTTGACATTTGAGTTTTGGGGGTCAAACTACTTTAGGATGACATCTAACAACTCAAGAGCCCCATTTCTGATGTGGACAGGAACCTTACTATGATTATTGGTATACATCTAATTAGTTCTCAAATCTAATGTATCTAATTAGGTAATTGAAAACAAGGAACGCTTATTGTTATTAACCTTTGTTATGATTGGATTTTGAAGAATTTGAGATGATTTCCTCCTGTGGTGTCCTCCTCCTCCTCCTTGCCACATTATTTGGTACGAGATCTAGGATCATTCGGTATTATTTGGTATCAAAGCCAAAAACCCCGATTATATTGCATTGAAATTTTCTATCATTTGGCTCAAGAGTCCTATCACAACATGACAATCGATGAGTCAAAGTCTTTATCAAATAACTCATTCAAACAAGGAAACAAATCAATAGAGTGGTTAGGAGCTGCATCAATTTCATTGATAGCTCAAAAATTCAAGAATTTCCCAGTATCCTAATATCATAACTGTTCAAATCATGTGCATGACATCTTTCTCAACAATGCCCTGTAATTTGTGAAGAAGACTTTAATTTTTAGCCTGTCCGCGTAATTTTTCATCAATTTATTGGAATTTATTTGTACATCAACCCGAGATTGGCATAGTTGGTCCGGGGCGTTAGAGGATTTGGTACTCGGGTCTCTACACTCGTGCCCTGGATTACAATAATGATTGCTTTTGTTCATCTATAACATCATATGAAACTTACAAGCTAGTGCAGCTAATAAAAAAAAAATTGGCAAGAAACTAGAGGAAAAAATCAAGATGAATTCTTCACCAAGTTATTACTTTTTATTAACTTCTTTTTATAGAAAAATGAAGAGGTGAAAATGGTAACTAAAGTTATTTGACTTCGGTCGTATTTTCCTCCAATCCTCACCGCAAGAAATTTCCTCCTTCATCCATATAATCGGTGAATTCACGTAAAATACCACATAACAATACCAAGATAAGTGTGGATATAATTCTTAACAAAACAAAAAAAGCCTCTCCACTACACCACCGTAGCTCCGCCGCTGCCGGGGCTACCGGCCCTGCATTCAATGAAACTTGAACTGAAGGCAGTGAGGCTAGCCAATGGAGCTGGTGGCGGCGAGTTGCGGAGAGAGAAAGAAGTGACGAAGTGGTGGATGGTGTGTGGTGGTGGTGCTACTAACAGGGGTCGTCAAGCTAGTAAGGGTGTTGTGGGACAGCTTCAGCGGTGGCTCAATTTGTTTCGCAAAAATATGAATAATTTAAAAAATATTTTCCTAAAAATGATCGTTTACATCGTTTGCAAAAATGAACGAACGAAAAATATATTTAGCATTTACGAAAATGTTTAGACATAAATTGTTATCGAAAGTTAATTACTTCAAGCGATATAAGCGATCATTTTTATGAAAATATTTTTCAAATCATTTATTTTTCGTGAAACAAATAGAATCTTAGAGAGAGAGAGAGAGAGAGGGACGTCCAATGATGATGGATAATACCCGGGTTCTTTGGACGGGCAATTCCTATAATAAATTTACCTGGGGCCATGGGGAGATTGATGTGCGATGACCAATTAAATATCGGGTTGGAGGAAGACACGGCCCCTTTGCCTTAGTATTAAATTCCATTTGCCTTCATGAAAATTCATGCGGAAAATATCCTAAGAATGATCTTGCTTTACGATTGTTAACTAATTACACAGCACAAGCTTTGGACCGTGTATTCCAACAATGGAACCTGACCGCGCCGCCGAACGAGTGGAACATCAGCGTAGGACCATGCAGCGGCGCTGACATCTCTGAGACCCGCTTTGACGACATGGGCAACTGGCCGGGCATCAAATGCCTTTTAGAAATAGAATAAAAAATTAGAAAATCGAAAATTCCTAAAACTAAAAAATTCAGAAAATCCATAAAATTTTCGAAAATAAAAAAAGTCGATTTGGGAAAATAGAAAATTTGTTCATTTTTTCAAAAAAATATAAGAATGGCTCAACTTTGAGTGAAATTTAAATTTTGAGTAAAAATCAAAAAAAAAACACTCTCTAGTGAAATTTAAACCAAATTCAGTAAATTAAGTAATTTTTTGCTAAATTTATTTGCAGGATGCACATAAATGTAAGTCCGCGTGAATTTATTTTGATTTTTAATTTTTTGGCACCTCTTTCGACACGTAATTCTAAGCATTATGTAAAGTTTTAAATTTTGATTTTATTTTATTTTTGGGCACTTCAAAAATTTAAATTTCATTCAAAGTGAACACAAGTATTCTAAGCCATTTTGTGAAGTTTTGAAATTTTTATTTTTTGGAAAAATGAACAAATTTCCTATTTTCCCAAATCTGACTTTTTTTATTTTCTAGAAATTTTTATGAATTTTTCTGGAATTTTTCAATTTTTAAGGATTTTTGAAATGGCGGGTACGGTGGCGGAGGTGGGGGGAAACGCTAACACCTCGTCGTTATGCAGGAGTATCTATCAGCTGAATGTCGTGGGTCCGATTCCGGATGAGCTATGGAGTCTGAGTTACCTCACGTATTTGTATGATTCCTATTTTGCCTAATTTGTTACTGGTCGCACGATCTTTTTAGGCTCAGCATCCTGTCCTCGATTAGTAATTTAAGATCCGAAAGAAGTGAAGAACGAAAGGCAATGAAGAAAACTGAAACAAAAGATAAAAGAAAAAGAATTATTTTAACTCTCTAATTTGGTTAAGGGTCTGACCAAAAAGAAAATTTTTGGAAAATGAATAATGACACAAATAATTCATGAACTTCTAATTTTTTCAATTTGGTGCCCGAACTTTAGGCAAATGTGCAATATGGCTCTTGAATTTTTAATTTGTTCAATATGTTATAGTCTAGGGACTAGTTTGAATATGTATCAAAAGTTCAGGGACTACATTGAACAAATTAAAAGTTTGGGAACCACATTACATATTTGACTAAAATTCAAGGAACACATCGAACAAATTGAACATTTCATGAACCACATTGCACATTAGGTTAAAGTTCAGGGATTATTTGTGTTATTTTCCCTTTGAAAATCGGGGTAAAGGAAATTCTTGGGCCCACTTTTAAATTACAGCTTAAAAATGGGGTACAACAGGAGATTGGTCCCTCATAATGATCATAGAAAATGTCGAACCAAAGACTAAATTTTTTATCAACCCAATTATTCTTAGTTAGGGGTGAGCATGGTTCCAGGGTTCTACCCTAGAACCTAAAAACTTGACTGGTGGGAATATGTAGGTTTCAAGTTTCAAGATACGCATAGTAGATTTCGGGTTCTAAAAATTGGAGGATCTGTTTCGACGGGTAGGTTCCAAGTCCTAGGTAAAGGGAACTTGAAACTTAAAACCTGGAACCTTAAACCTTAAACAAGTTTTTTGTGTTTTTTCTTGATCTATGTCTTCATGTGATCCTGCGGTGTTCTATGGCGTTAGATTATGAGTATATAATCTAGAATCACTAGTCTGAGCTTTCATTTTATTACTTATTAATGTTTTATATTCTTCGTGTCTCTAGATATAAGTTTTTGTCAGTGGATCGTAACAGCATGTGGTGGTCATTAAAGGTGATGATTCACTACAATTGTTCAATTAATAATATAGATGGAACCTGAATAAATCTTAGAACATATCTTGAAAGCTGTGACAGGGTAAGTTTCAGGTTCTAAGGTATGTAGGGTAGGTTGCAGGTTCAAAAAAATGATAAACTTGTTTCCATGGGTAGATTTCAGATACTAGATGGAACCTGTACAGAACTTGGAACCGCTCACCCTCAATCTTAATCATATCAATTTCGAACAATAAAAAAAATTGTTAATTCAATGGAACGCCTTAAACCGGAATTGGTCACCTTGATATCTCAATAGCCATGTTAATTTTAAGGTGCTTTTTATATCATTTTAAAATGCAAAAAATAACTTTTGTTTTGGTCAGTCAAAAAAATGTTATTTTTTGTAAACATGGATAATTGAGAAATAAAACTCCAATAACTATAGACTATTTGATTAAGGTTCTCCATGAGAGTTATAGTTGTGAAAAAGGTCGTGCAACTTTTATAAGGTATTTGCCAAGCTCCTCACAGTTGCAGCCGATGGCATCCTAAAAGCTGTAGCAATCTATAGTAATATCCGATTCTAAAGGTGTCGCAATTTTAAAACTCAAATTACTAGATACATATGGTACATTGAGTAAAAAAACGTACGATATGATACTTCATTCGGCGAAAGAATAATGTTGAGTCAGCTTTCAAATTTTGAAGGATTATATTGAACAAAAAAAAAGGTTTGAGGAATAAATTTAAATGACGACGAAAAGTTCAAAAACTTCCAATGCGTTTAGCCTTAAGAATAGTTGCGAGATCTTAAGATCAATTCCTATTTAGTACGGTATCTCAAAGTCGAGTCACAAAAGAATAGTTCTTGACAAATTCCCTCAATGCAAATGCTTTTCTTGCCTTAAATTGAGTCGAAAATGTAGACTTGATTTGATGTATGAAAGCGAACTTAAGATTCACATGGTAGTAGCTAGACGAAATGAAAGGAAAATGTTAGAATATAAGATTGATATAAATTGATATTTATATTATGGGGAAGATTATTATTAGGCCCGTCAAAATGGGTCATATATCAATTTCTTAACTCACATATGATGAATTGAGTTGTTATATATATTAGTTATATTGAGTAAATGGGTCATAAATAGACTTAAACATAATATGTATGTTAAATGAGTTTACAACTTACTTATACCCAATCAACATTTATAACTCTCTCTTCATTCTTTCTCATACTCATTCGATCTCGCGCTAACTCACTCCGCACTCTTTGCTCAGTTTGAGTATGAATTTTCCTAGATTTGATTTAATATAGAAGTGTTTTAGCAGAATGAGTCGTGTCGAGTATTAGTTGGGTATGTACCGGGTTGGATATGGGTCGTTAGATCTGCATTGCACGGAAAAGGTATCAAAACGGATTAAATTAATCTATTTGGGGCGGACCATTTTTTACGCGATCTAATCCACCCGTTTGACGAATTTAAATTTATTATTAAAAATCTGTGAAGACCCTCCCTCCTCCAACCAAAGTGCCAAGTTTAGACGGGTCCCATGACGGAATGTCCGGTTTAAGCAATCCCATGACGATATGTGCCGGTTCGCCGGTGACGTCGAGAACACGATGGCGACGCGACGGAGAGCTCCGGCGACCGAGCTGTGCGGACGGAAAAGCTCGCCGGAACAGCACCGGCTCATCGTACCGCATTGCGACCGTTGATTTCTGATCGAAACCTGTGGCGGGGAAACACAGTGAAGCGATGAGGTTGGAGCCTACAAAGTGAAGCGATGGACGGACGAATGTTTTGGTTAAAGCGAAACGATTCATGAGCTTTTGTTGATATGAATTTTTCTGGAAGGATTTTTTTTCCCTCGTTTTATCGTATGAATAGATGTCTGAAATGATACGATTCATGAGCTTTTTGCTAATATGAATTTTTCTGCAAGGTTTTTTTTTCCTCGTTTTATCATATGAATAGATGTCTGAAATGATGTGAATTCTCACCGATTATCATCACAGGAACTTGAGTCGGAATCTCTTGACGGGATCAATCTCATCGCGAATCGGCAATCTGGGTCGCATGCAATACTTGTAATCCCCAGTAGTGACAAGAACAATATGATTTGATTAAAGGGTTGTATTGTATGGTTTTGTGATGTTAAGTTGTTTTTGGCCACATTCTACTGTTGTTAGGAGCCTTGATGCCAATGCATTCTCTGGGGAGTTTCCGGATGAGATCGGAGATCTCGTTGAGCTGCTAGAACTGTAAGTCACGCTTGTCGGTGGTCAACTTGTCGTGTTTGCTATTATTTCGTGATCGCGGTGATGGTGCGGTGAACTTTGTAGCTTGACTCGATGTTTGTCTATCTTCCCTAAGCTAGTTGATGCAAATCGGAGATGTTTTGCGGTGACTCGAGTGTATCTTGATCGCGAAGAATCGGTAGATGTAGTCATGGAGTTGCTTGTACTCAGTTTCTTAATGCATGTGTTAGTTGTCGATCTTGAGAATTGAAGAGTTCGTTAAAATCAATATATGTTAAATTTTCATCACATGCTTTTAGATTGCATACAGTAGAGCTCCATTTTTGTTCAGTCAAGAGGATTGTGAAGTGATATAGTCTGTTGTCACGGAGGAGACATCGAGTTCCATGTTTGAGCCACCCTTCCCTGTTATAAGAGATCTAGAAGTGATATAAACTGTGAAGGGATAGGTTGTTCTATGCTGGATCAAGTGGAATTGTCTTGGCGCCATTGTTAAGGTGAAATTAATAACTTAAAAGACAAAGTTAGTGAGCTTTCTTGCATCATCATGAGCAAGGCCTGCATTGGTGTCAGAAAGTTTGTGTAAATAGACAGAAGATAATGCCAGAGGGGTATGCGAGTTTTGGCAGATGGTAGTTGACTTTTTGTATTTACTGAATCACATATGGAGGTAAGAGAACACTTAAGCACGAAAGGTTTATAATGATTGCATATGCATTAGTTTGTCTATGCTTCTGTAGATATGCAATGGAATTTTTGCTTATTCCTCCATAAATAGTACCATGTCCAGTTAAATGCCCCCTAGTTACAAGAATTACAGATCCATTCGTTGTTCTCTTTTGCTCCTTTAGATCCATCTGAACATAATGACTCTTGAGATCTGCACTCGTTGCAGGTCATTCACAGAAAATAACTTCTCTGGTTCTCTACCACGCACTTTTGGAAATCTCACAAAGTTAAGGAAGTTGTAAGTCTCTTCATGTTCTGAAGCTCCTTCTCAAAATTTGTTACGCACCGAAGTTGCATATAGTCTTCCAACTTTTGTTCCCTTTCTATTTTGGTTCCCTTATATTTGGATCCTCACTCAGCTTATATTAAAGCACATGCTATGATATGGAATATCAATGATGGTCTCTGGAGTTAGCTGAAAAGTCAGTTATCACTTCTCCATAGATTCGAACTAGAAACACTCTAATTCAAATATGTGTATGTTGTCTTAAACTCCATTTCTCTGTTACCATGTCTGTATTCTTTTCTTGTTTGCCAACAGTATCATAAAAGGTGGATGTTGTTTGGTATCAACTGTTTTCTTGTCAAATTAAAGTGAAGAAAAGGTTCCTTCTTCGTTTTCTAAATACCTGCTTCTACTTTTATCACCATTTATTGCTTAGTTGATCCTTTAAAATCGTCTTCTTTTATCAAGAGAAAACATAAATCTTGTCTATTCAGCTTTTCATGAAATTTTCATGTGACAGAGACTTCTCTAGCTCAGGAATCAGCGGTCCGATTCCTTCATCTTGTGCAAATCTTGCAGATTTAAATATCCTGTAAGAGCCTATAAACCCTTTTGTTCCCAATGGCGTGCACTCTTAGGACATCTCTGTGAGTTGTAAATCATTACAGACATCAGGCGTACTGATATTCTCTGAATCTCAGGTTGGCATCTGACAATAATCTCAATGGCTCCATCCCTGACTTCATAGGAAATTGGCTCAAACTCACTGAGCTGTACGGTGGCATGTTTTGATTTATCATCCGTTTTCCTGTCCATACCCTTATGGAAATGGAACCTAGGTTCTCTATATGCTGGATCTTGTTGCTGAAGTCAAATTAATAATCATCTTGTTCTTATTGTAAATGTAGGAGGCTGCAAGGCAATTCTTTTGCCGGTCCAATACCATTGAACTTTTCCAAATTAATTTCTTTAAAAGAATTGTAAGAATATTCATTGTCAACCAAGTACTATTTTTTTCCTTCTTTTCGTTGTTTCTAGATGACTAATTTCTGGATGACCTAATATGTAACTTGAATTCTAGGAGAGTATCCGAGATCTCTGGTGGCTTCTCTACGCTAGAATTTCTGAAGGACATGGGGAATCTCACAACTTTGTAAGGCAGCCTTAGTCAAATTTGACACTTTTTAATGCTTTTCTCCATCCAGTTATACTTTGTCTGAGGTGTCTAACATATTGAAGTTTGACTTCTTGCAGAGTTTTGAGGAACAACCAAATTTCTGATACTATTCCACCATATATCAGTAATAATAAAAATTTAGAGCACCTGTAAGTATGTCTTCCAATTAATGAAAAGCATCCGCAATCCTCAGGTTATTCTTTGAGACAAATAAATGATGCTAAAACATAAATCCTATTGTTCCCTGCAAGAATTAGCTCGTTTTGGAGCCCGAGAGCTTATTTTGCCGTTGCTTCCAAGAAAGGGAATGTTTGTTTCGGCTATAGGCCAACCAAATAAGCCATGTCGAATTTCCTGCTGAAATAAAGATATTTCAAGGATGATGAAGAAATTTGGGGGTGACTTTAAATGCTAAGATACTGTTATTTGTAAAATATCGAGGGTCTAACATATATAAAGTCCAATTTAACTTTCTAAAGGTTAAAGAAAAAGTGAAATGTTAAAAGCAAAGGGCATGACGGACACCCACTAGTCTGACTGTTTAGTTATGAAACATACTATGTCTTTTGTATCTTCTTTTGTTGCTTTCTGGGAATTCTTCAATGCAACCTTATCCATGCGCCTCTTTTTTTTTTTTTTGTGTCCTTTTTTGTCACACTCAATAACCAAATCTATTCTGTTTAATAAGATTGATTTCCAGCGGGCTCAGAGTTTTGGTTGACTCACACTGATTCTAATAGATTGATTCTACTTGCAAGAAAATCAGTGACTTTTTCTCATGCTCTGATCGATGATTTTTTACCTTGCAGAGACTTAAGCTTCAATTATCTACATGGATCAATTCCAGATTCCATATTCACATTAGGTTCACTTTCTTATTTGTAAGGCATCTATATAGATTAGTCAGCCAAATCATTTGAGATGTTCTGTCCAATATCAAATAATGCCTATTTCTTGCTTAGGTCTCTCGGAAGGAATAAGTTGAGTGGAGCCCTCCCCTCAAAGAAAGGCATCTCTCTTGTTTATATGTGAGTGAATCAAACCAGTGAGCATCTACTAAACTGCACGACATTGTGGGTTCAATTTGACTGAACAGGTTTGTGTAACAGAGATGTCTCTTACAATAACTTATCTGGCAACTTTCCTCCTTGGGTCAAGGAAAATATTCAAACGTAAGTATAGAAGCTTCAACTGAAAGTACTTTGTTTCTTGTTTTGCCCCCAATGTGCATATTTGATCATCTAGTGTGCTCTGTATATTACTGGTATCCCTCACAGACTAACCTTATGCTATTGTCATGCACATTCAGTAACTTCGTTGCCAACTACTTCACAGCAGAAAGTTCAAATAGTGGGTAATGCTCTCTAGTCCAGTTGTACTCCTGTTTAGTCCAGATGATTATTATGATGATATCTTATTCTGTTGTATTGGCATACAAGATGAATGAGAGATGGCTCCTTCTCTGATTTAAAGGAAAAATGAAATGATTCTTTCAGAAAGAAGGTATGTAAAACGATGAGTTTTAAAATGAATAACTTGATGGAAATGGAGCATGTCAAAGTACGTAGAGTCTGTAACTGGAAAAAAGGCCTATAAATCATAAATTTCGTAGTTGATGCAACACTTTTCATCTGGAAGGATCAACATAGCTGATCTCATGAGGGAAAAGTGAGGATAAGAACACCATAAGCGCCATAACATTCGTACGGCGCTCACTTGAGTGCCATAATTTTTAAAAATCATTCATTTGAGTGCCATCGGCGATTTCCCTTACTGGAAACTCCAATGTGGCATTAATTTACTATCAATCGGGTTACATGGCTAGCTAGAAAATCCATTCAACAAAATGGTGCAGAAACGACATGGTTTGCTATTCGTTTTTGCCCCCAAACTGATGAATTGGGGCTAATAGCTTCACATGAAACCCTAATCCCAATTTGCAGGTCAAGAATCGATCAAAAAACTGAAGTTACTTCACCACTCAGTTTTGACAGTTTGCAAGAAACAAGATGTCGAAGCTGCTTCTGTCTTCCTCTTCCTCTTCTTGGTTGAGAATGGCCCTGTCTCTTCCTTCTCTTTCGTCCTTCTTGGGATAATGACATAAATAGTTCTTGAACTTTCGCCCAATGTGTAATATGATCCCTGAATTTTAAATTTGTTCAATATGGTCCCTGAACTTTAGCCCAATGTACAATGTTGTCCCTAAATTTTTAATTTGTTAAATGTACAGCCCAATGTACAATGTCGTCCCTAAATTTTTAATTTGTTAAATGTACAGCCCAATGTACAATGTCGTCCCTAAATTTTTAATTTGTTAAATGTGGTCCCTGGACTTTCGGTGAATGTTCAATTTAGTCTATGGATTGTATGAAAATAATCAATGTTGTCCTTCCATTAATCCAAAGACTAAATTGAATATTTATCAAAAGTCCAGGGACCACATTAAATAAATTAAAAGTTCAAGGACGACATTGCACATTGGACTTTAGTTTAGGGACCACATTGAACAAATTTAAAGTTCTGGGACCACATTACATCTTGGGTCAAAATTCATGGGGGTTAATACCACCAAAAATCCTAAACTGGTACATGTGTGACAATTTTACCCCGAACTTTTTTTTTTACCACCAAAAACCCCAAACTGGTACACCTGTGACAATTTTACCCCAAACTTTTTTTTTTACCACAAAAAATCCCAAACTGGTACACCTGTGACAATTTTACCCCAAACTGGTAAACCCCTGACAAATTTACCCTAAACTATTTTTTTGACCATAAAAAACCTTAAACTGGTACACCTGTGACAATTTTACTCCGAACTAATAAATTTTTAATATTATGTTTTATTTTTTCAAATTTTTTTATTTTTTATTTTATTATTATTTTTTTTTTCTTCATCTTCTACCTACTCGGTTTGGCCGCCGGCCCCGGTGGTGGCCAGAGGAGCCGGCGAGGTCGGCCCCGCCGGCCATGCCGGGCGAGGGCCGCCCTAGCGGCGTCGGCGAGGGTCGCCCTCGCCTCGGGCGGGCGAAGAGATGCCTCTTGCCCCGACGCCGGCAGGGCCGACTCGCTGATCCGCGAGGGCCGACCTCGCCAGATCCGGCGAGGGCCGCCCTCGCCGGCGTCGGCGAGGGCTATCCTCGCCCGACTCAGCGAGGTTGCCCTCGCCGCCCAGCGAGGGCGGGCGAGGCTAGCCCTCGCTGGGCGGCGAGGGCTCGCCGTAGATCCGGCGAGGGCGCCCTGCAGATCCGGCGAGGGCGGCCCTCGCCGAGTCGGGCGAGGGCGGCCCTCGCCAGCAGCCGGCGGGGCCGACCTCGCCGGCTTCCGCCTCTGGCCGGTTGCCGGACCAGCGACCGCCCAAAGGTAAAAGATGAAGAAAAAAAAGGAAAAGAAAAAGCAAAAAAATTAATAACAATTCGAAAAAATAAAAAAATAATATTAAAATTTTAGTTCATGGTAAAATTGTCACATGTGTACCAGTTTAGGGTTTTTGTGGTATGTTCAGGGTAAAATTATCACAAGTGTACCAGTTTGGAGTTTTTTGGGGTATGTTGGGAGTAAAATTGTCACATGTGTACCAGTTTGGGGTTTTTGGTGGTCAAAAAAAAAGTTCGGGGTAAAATTATTACACATGTACCAGTTTAGAGTTTTTGGCGGTATTATCCCAATTCATGGACCATTTGAGTCATTTACCCCTCTTTCTTTACCTTGAGACATCATCTTCTTGTTCATCGCCTCCCGCAATCTCTCAACTTGGACCATCCTAGTCAAACTTGGAAATTCCACAATCCAATCACTTGAAGTTGACCCCATCATGCGTCCTCTCCGTGACCCTCCTCCCCCAACCCCTCCCAACCTCAATCCTCCATTTTCCACCATCCAATTGTCCCTCTCTTCGGTTCCACGTCTCCCTCCAGATCCGCGCCTCCTCACACTCCCAGCACACAAAGAAGACAATTGCTTAGGCTATGCTGCTCCTCATTTTTTATTTGAAGCAGCCTATGAATCGATCAACCAATCATGAGCTTAGGCTCAGAGAACTCGTGGTCAAGGCTTCGATTTCAATGAGGAAGATTGCTCAGGCATGCGTAATTTGTTAAATTTTCCACTCGAAGCACTCGTATTTGATTACACGTGCTTCAGATTCCTCTTTTGGGGCTGATGACCAACATTGAAAGGCTGCGAAGAAGTTCATTGCCTCTTCTGGCACTGGTGACCCACATGATCGACCCGCATTACCACCTTCTTCTTTTGAAAGGCTCACCATTTCAGCGACTCTGATTTTTCTGGTGTTCGATATGTTTCAAGAATGGATGTGAAGACTGCGAAGAAGACAGAGTTTGAGTAAAGCAGCATGAGAAAAGCCTTCTTATGCGTTTGTTTCTATTGCGTGTTGCAAAAGCTGAAGTTGTTGGATTTGAGGGTAGTGCAATAATGGATGCGAACTCAATTGAATTCCAGAAAGAGAGAGTTTCCCTAGCTTTAAACTAAACATGGTTGCTTTGTTTACTTGTGCCACATTGGACGAAGAACTTTCCACATTGGACTTCAATTTCGTTTCAAAAAGCCACATCGGAGTCAAAATTTACTTTAAAAAGCCACGTAGGACGAATCCCCGGAATAGGCACTCAATTTACACTGAAATGATTAAAAAAGGTTATGACACTCAAGTGAGTACTATATGAAAATTATGGTACTTGTAATGTCTTTATTCCAGGAGTGCGTAATTGTTCAGTGTTAAGGCATTACGTTCATTTTTCACTGTGAGAGAAATTTGTAGCTTAGAGTGATACTCATGCTCCTCTTTGTTTGGTTAGGGGACAGTATATTTGTTGTAGAGACTTGTAGTGTGCTTCTTCTTTATACTCCGCCCTCATGGCCAGTAGCTTCAACCACGAAAGGATACGAGGTAGTGAGTAAAGTCAAGATGTATGACATGTGGATAGTGGCATTATTTGAATACAAGATAATAATGTTATCAGCAACTGGAAAGAGGGGGAAGTGTACACATGTATGTACGAAATTTAATCAAGCCAAGTCGCAGATTAAATGTGGCGTTTCCTCTAAACTGTGGGAGTTTAGTGGCTTTTGCATTAAGCAATGACTCATTTGCTCGAAAAGTTTCATAGATGACCTTTTGATAGGATAGTCATGATGTAGACTTTTTGTTTGCAGTTTGCTGGAATCTGCTGACCCTCCTAAAACATAAACTATGTACAAGAGAATAATGAAAATATGCACCTTCAGCTAACAAAATCGAAGACATCATTCGGCAGATCAACCATTTTTTCCATGTTGCACCCTACATGAAAACTAATACCTGATTATACCTAAAAACTTGAATGTTTGTTACCCTGCACAGTTAAAAATAATCTCTCTTTGTTTTGAACTTAGGGAATTGCCATCGGGATGGATTTGCCTTCAACGACCTTTTCGTTGCAGCCAAGACACTGGAGTCAGTAAGTTAGAGTTAAATATATTTCCACTTTTTTTCTGGACATAGATTTCGATGGAATAAAGTATCATCAGCAAGAACTTTAAACGTAATCCAATATAATAGTTGTTTCAAAATTGCATCCGCTGTTTGTCTCATTTGTTGTCAGTAATCTATACTCTTCTTCATTAATCTAGGGTTGGTAAGAATGGTTGGTTGTCCTGTTATTAGTTCTCTTCTGCCAAAGTATCACCCCAGTATGTATTTATATGGTCGGTAGGAATGGTTGGCTGTCCTGTTACTAGAATAATGAACGGTATAATGTACATTTGTCATCTACAATCAACCTCATTGAAGTTCATTTTAATGGCTGACGTTGTGCAATAGAGCAGAATTGCTCGCACTCTTGAAAGGAGTTGGTCCTATTGACAAAGGACATGTGAGCATGTGGGCATTTGTCAGTGTTAGGTTTGAGCATGTGGTCTTTGTAAAGGTTGGATACTACTAAGCTGAAACTTTGTCAGTGAGCCATTCATAGTGTAGCATAGATGTTTGACAATGCATACTATATGTTAAAATATCTCACATCGATTGTCTATGAGATTTAAATTGGCATTATGTACACGTGATCTCCCTCTGCCTAATAGCTTAAGCTTTTGGATGGACATTTTAACATTGCATCAAAGCCAGGTTTTGCCTCGGTTTATCTCACACTTGTGACGCTTCGTTCGTTAATTTCATGTGCTGTTCTGAGTCAGGTTTGCACAAGAGAGGAAATGTTAAAGTATTCCACATAACTTGTCACGGGGTTTATATAGGCCTTGTATACATGGGGTTTCCCTCCACCTGACAATTTAGGCTTTTGAGTGGACATTCTAAGAGTATTCAACCAGATCAATTATGTTTTCCTTTGCAGATATTAGTTTTGCAATCAATTCTGGGGGTCCACAAGTGGGAATCTCTGATGGAACTTTGTTTGAGGCTGACGATAACAACGGCATTGGTCCAGCTTCGTTTTTCATTAGTGAGACAAAGAGATGGGCACTTAGCAATGTTGGGATTTTTGACAATGCTACCAACTACCAATTCACATGTTCAACCTCCAATGCCAACTTGAAAATGCCGGACCAAGCTCTCTTCCAAACAACAAGGACATCCACGTCATCACTGAGATACTATGGGTTGGGACTCCAGAATGGCAACTACACAGTGAATCTTGGTTTTGCAGAAACAGCTTTTCCAGATGATAACCAGTGGACTAGTTGGGGAAGGCGTATCTTTGATATATATATTCAGGCTAGTCTTTAGACCTGTTTGCTGTCTGAAGTATTTTAGTGGCATGAAACTCCAGTAAGACGTACTGGATGCACAACTATAATATCATTGGTATGGCTATTTATGAGCTTATGACTTTACTTGAAAGTATGCTCAAATTTTGTTTCAATCAACAGCGTCGGGTTCATGATGGACCTTTACTTTTTTGAAGTCCCTGCACAAGATTGCTTATCATATAAGTACCTTGAATAATTATATCCTCACTCCAATGAATTATATTTTCCAGTTTGTCATGAGAGAAAGATTGATTACCATTTTTCGTCTTCATGTTCTTGGTGCAGCTCTTTTTACAATTGTCACTACTAGTGTACAAACTCATATATTACAGCCTTTAAATCAGGGATGAACCTTGCAATTTTCCAGATTATTTCTCTGAGGTTTCCCATAGTTAATTTCTCAAGAAGTAGGTGGACAAGGTTTCTGTAAAAATCTATGCTAAACTTTCTTCATCTAGTGCAACAAATTGTATTAGGTAACCTGATCTGTATATTTTGGCCTATTTGAAGGGGAATTTGGTGCTTAAAGACTTTGACATTAGAGAGGAGGCAGGTGGAAGGTCTTTCGAAGCTGTCGAGAAGGTAATTAAGGTTCAGGTATCTGAAAACTTTGTTGAGATTCACTTCTTTTGGGCTGGAAAAGGGACATGCTGTGTGCCTATTAGAGCTACGTATGGACCATCTATTTCAGCTATCCATGTTAGTCCAGGTAATAGAGTCCTTTTCTTACCAAATGTCATTCTTTGACTAGTGCACATTCACCACCATTTGATCACTCGCCTGAAATGTTTTTACAGATTTTACACCTACTTCTCTGGACAAGAGGAAGAATATGATGCCTTTGGTCGTAGTTATTGCAGTTAGTGTTGGAGTCATGTTCTTTCTATCTACTTCGGTAGCTTTTTATTTTCTCAGAATAAGGAAAAGGCCAAGCTCCAAAAAAGAGACAGGTGAAAAATTTGCATCACATGTATTTAATAGTTCTTGAAATAGCCATATTTGATGGTTCTTAATAGCACTTACATTGTTTCAAAGTGTCTAGTAATGTAGTTATGGTGCTTTGATGTCTCAATGTTTATGGTTTAAGGTAGTCTCATAGAATATTAGACATACTCTAGTCTTTGTGTCTAATGTTAGTTGTTTGTTGTATTCCTCAATGCAATCACATGGTTTCCTCTTGGACAAGATGCTCTACCATATAGAAAATGCATTGTGTTATTCTATGGATGATTTGACCGGAAACCAATGAAATAGCAAAAACAAAAATGTGTCAAGAACAAATGTCCTTTTTCGGCCCAATGTGAGTCCCACTTTTTCTCCTTATGTGAGTGACTTGATCTAGTAGAGTGTGCCTATACGATCATTATTATAGTATAGGGGGTCTCTGCTTTTTTGGACTGGTTTATCAGTTACCTTGCTAGTAAAGTATGTCTCTTTCAAAGTTTATGACCTAATCTGTCACTAGTGAGCCTCTTTTGTAAAGGAGATGTGAAGTGTTTAACCAAGGACATGCTTCCAAAAGAATTTTCCTCGAAGAATGAGCAAAGGAGATCTATAATCTCTTTCTACCTTACTCATCAATGCATAATTACCTTTCAAGAGAAGCGTGCCCAGAATTCAGGAAAAAGTTCTATTTAATAATATATCTGCCGATGAGGGAGAGCACTGTGGTGACCTCGCAAAGCAGTGTCAATTCTTTGCAGATGGGGTGATGAGTATATTTGAACTTGTTCTTACTGATTATGTTATGCAGATGTCATGAGAGTTGCTACAGGGGCATTGACTTTCAACTATTCAGAGCTACACAATGCTACAAATGGTTTCAGCCTTGCCAATAAGCTGGGCCAGGGTGGTTTTGGAATTGTTTATAAGGTAATTCTGCATCCTGATATTTGGGATATGGCAAGAGACGAGCTTTCTGTCCACTAAGGCTTTGCAATGCTTTTCAACTGTCCTGGTCTTGTTTGTAATTCTTGTCCGCAGTGTGACATTTGGACATTTAATTTACTCCAAAAAGGTGCCAATTCAGGTCAAAATTTTAATTGAGCTCCGTCCATTAGGCCAGCCCAAGTGCACAGAAAGTCATGCTCTCTGCTGTCTCTAAATGTGTTAGCACCTTCTTTCTAAATGGTCAAGTTTTTAGATTATAGCTGAAAATAAGAGTTTATTTAAAAAAATGAAGAAACTTTCGTTTTTGGGGGGTCGCTGCCTGGGCAAGCGCAGAGGGAGGGGGTGCTGGGGGGGAGTTGACCATTTCAATCATATCCCTTGGCACTGATATATATTTTCATTATGATGATGAGTGAATGCCGACTTTCCTGTTCATAGGATAACCAAAATTACATTTACTTCATCATCTTCTGGGTTACCTTTGAGTTTTGATTGATCTAAGCTATTATATATCTTTTTCCAAGCTCTAGGTCCTATGTGCATGCTAGTAAGTCACACTTGATCAGCTCACTGGAAATTATCAGCTGAGAATGAACTATGTGAAGATTTGATTCCCATGGGCTCACACTTGTCATCCCTAGGTAGTTAAGAAAGAATCACTAGAACGCACAAGTCTGTCATGCTACTGAATATTTTCTTCTTCCGCAGATCATTAATTTTTTAGATTAAATAATAGTCGAATATCGTGAATGAACACGTATCTATTTTGTTTCACCGAGGCAGGACGAAGTGGTACTGTCTTTGTGCCAAAGAGTTGTCGGCCACAAGTTTGATATTGCCTATGCACTCATGAATGTGGTGTATTAAGTGGTCTTGCAAGACAATGCTCATTCACATACGTCAAACTTCTGTAGCAAAAAATGTTCTCCTGTTGGTCAACTATTAGAGGGGATATGCAATATTTTCAGTTCCCTTGTCTTGAAAAATTCTGTTTGTATCATCTTAGAAATTATTTTTCGGTGTTCACATGCTATCCTTTCTGCATTTTTCATGTGTGATTGGAGATAGTATCATCATGCAGCCGCCAGTTCCGTCTAGGAGAAAACAAAAGAAAATAAGTAGAGTTCTTTGGTTGAACGATATTTTGGCTGAGCCATGGTAGTAGTGGCATGATGAACAGAAACTTTCTAGAAAGTTTTTTAACCCTTTGGCTGTTATGCTCCGTCATTCATCGTTCATTCGCTCTCATACTCTCGTTCTTTAGGAGATTGGACCATCCATTGTCTGCTACATAGCCCTTATTACACTTCTTAGCATTCTCTCTCAATGGAAACATTCATGTCAGATCCTTTAGCTTGTAACGTATGTATATGACCTGAGCCCCTGCCAAGTTGCTGGTGATGAAATTAACAAGTTGATGCTTTTGACTACGGACTATCTTAATGAGCCTCTGCAGAATTTGCTCTTATGCAAAGTGACATTCAGCTCAGAACAGAACTGCTCGCATTGTTAACTCCATTGTATTTGGAGGATTGAAACACGTAATAGATTACCAAAGAATTTTCATTCCTCAGGTTCATGATTTTCGATTTTATTTCTGTCCGATGGACCCTTAGTTGAGCCTCAAGACGATAAGTTGTAAAAGCTAGGGCCAGCTAAATGGCACTCAAACACGATTATCTCCCTAAGCCATAGAAAATTGTATACTGTAGGGAACACTTGGTGATGGGAGAGTTGTTGCTGTGAAGAAACTCTCTGCAACATCCGACCAAGGAAAGAATCAGTTTCTAGCAGAAATTGTGACGATATCTGCTGTTCAACATCGCAACCTCGTAAAGTTGTATGGATGCTGTGTACGTGGTGATAAACGCCTCCTCGTGTATGAGTTTCTAGAGAACAGTAGCCTCGATCGTGCCTTATTTGGTCAGTGTCGATACTCTGCATTTTATGGATATTCCCATCTATGCAAAAATGCTAGACACAATATTACTAATGACATGAATGGGACAGGGAAAACAAGCCTTCTTGTTGACTGGGGCACTCGTTATGGTATATGCTTGGGCATAGCACGAGGACTAGCTTACCTTCATGAAGAATCAAGAGTTAGAATTGTGCACAGAGATGTGAAGGCCAGCAATATTCTACTTGATTCAAGTCTTAACCCAAAAATTTCGGACTTTGGATTGGCGAAGCTTTACAATGATAAAATGACTCACATAAGCACTAGAATTGCAGGGACAATGTAAGTACTGAACACTTAGCCTCTTTGCTTTCTGATTATAAATGTTTTCATACATATAAATCTATGTGTATACCTTTGCATCTTATATTCTGGGACTGGAATAGTGGGTATCTGGCACCGGAGTATGCGATGCGCGGGCACCTAACTGAGAAGACTGATGTCTTTGCCTTTGGCGTGGTGGCTTTAGAGATTGTTGGTGGAAAGCCAAATTGTGCATCTGAAGAAGAGGCATCTCTGCTTGAGTGGGTAAGGATGAACGGAATTATTTGCATATGGCTCTTTAAGTTTGTTTAAGTTATTTTTTATTTTGGCCAACGGAATTTAGAGGATCCGGAACCCTTCTCAAACTTCTTTCAGTTGACTATGAAAATTTGAAAACGAAATGTTGGGTCGACACGGCAGAAACCCGACACCTTCACATGAGGAGACCACAAAAATGGAGCCCAAGTTCGAACCTTAAGCCAATGAGTTATGGGCCAATTAATTGCTCCACATTACAGTACATTCCCTATGTGGGACATTCGACATTACAGTAATAGTCCTCTGGTTTTTGATTAGGCACTTTAGTTTGCTGACTTCGCTACATTTTTTTGCTTTGAAGGCCTGGCACCTGTATGAGAATGAGCGTCAGGTCAAACTAGTGGACCCTAGATTATCAGAATTCGACGAGGAGGAAGTTAAAAAATTGATTCACGTGGCCCTCCTTTGCACCCAGATGCAGCCGTCTCTAAGGCCACCGATGTCCAGTGTAGTAGCGATGCTTCTGGGCCGTACTAATGTCATTCCTATGCCTTCAAAGCCAGGTTACTTGACTGACAACATGTTTGGCAGTTTTGTCAATTTGATGAGCGGAACAGTGATGGAGGGGAACTTGCGCAACGACGACTCAATCTCCAAATATGAGCCTGGCCAACACTGGAGAAGAGTCACTTCTGGGCCATCAAGCCGATCCTATGTGAGTGTCTTATCTTAACTGCTAAGTTGGTCATATCTCTTTTATTTATCTTTCTGCTGCGGTTTAAGCTCATGAAACTCCTGTAAGTGCTCAGTTTTTTTTCCCCCTTTCCATTGGTTTGCCTGAATCTTGTGGCGACACTTTGGGTTTGAAGGTGGTATGTAAAGTGATAATATATCTTCATCAAGAGTTATAATTTTCCTGTTTTTGTAACAAAATCCGTCGTCAAGTCATGAATCTCATAATCCTTGCAAGTCACCTTGGAAAATCATAGGCATTCCCCTTTTCTATGGCTTCCATTGCTATTTACATAAATGTTAAGTATAAGCTTAGTTCTGAACTCTCTTCTTAAACAGGGGAAATCCAGAAAGCCTAGTGATGAAGCAGCTGAATCGAAGCAATCGCATGACTTGACGTGAGATTTGAAGATTAATCCGAGGCATTATTCGATGTCTAGAGACCGCATTAAGAACGAATATCGACAATGTGTCATTTCTTTCACAGTATTGACCAGTTGTTTCATCAATCCGGCGACAGTTTCGGGGAAGGCGTCGGTTAAGCAAAGCTATTTTGCATCTATAGGTAAGGGAAAATAAACAATGATCTGGTTACTAACATCTAGTGTCATAGAAAAGCAAAGTCTGGAGTTTTCTTATTGAATTCAAGTCAACGACCATTGAAGGGTTGACCGATCACTGCATCACCTGTCTAATGCGTACATTTGCCATCTTAATTTGTTGGAACAAGAACATCAAATTCACACGTAGATGTGTGTCCAAATGGGACTTGGTCAAGAAATCAAACCAGCTTGTAGTGGCACTTCTACCCAGAGAGCAGAACTTGGTAGCCTTTGCCTCGGGGACAACTGAAATTGCTGGACAAGCAATCGCCGACGGCTTCGGCTCTCACAGCTTCTCGACTCTCTGCCTCCTTAGCTTCGCACTTCTCCTGCTGCGCAATGTAGCGAGTTGAAAAGGAGAAAAATCAGAACAACGAAATCTTTTTCTTTTTTTTTCGGGTTTCACGGCATTGCGTGATCACTTCAATCTAATGCACATCAAACCTCTGTGGTCTTGGTGCTGCCTTGTTCACTTGGTCCATAGTCCTCTTCGAATTCAGGCATTACGCGATCCCACTACTTGCCCACCTCTTCTAGGCAACACTTCATCCTCCGTGGTTTTGCTGTCCCGTATGAGCGCTGATCAAGTTATCATCAAAATAATGTCATGTTACCTTTTCTGACACTACAAGTCACTAGAGTTACATATGCAAATTAAAGGAAAATTTGAAAAGTTGTCGCGCTAAACAGAACACTGTACGAAAATTTTGATATTCCTGATGTATTTCTCTCTAAAATAAACTAACTAGAGTGTTTTTGTTTGATGGAGTAAGAACAACAAATATTTTATTTCCCATTTTTTTCACTTTGATGAGAATGTAAAAAGAAAAAATTAGTCTCTTTAGACAATCCTAACACACTTTGGCTCCGGCAAAAGGACACTATTGGTGCCATAACTTGTGTACGGAGATCACTTTGGTGCCATAACTTTTTTTCGGATCACTTTGGTGCCAAAATCGGAGAAAAAAGATTACTTTAGTGACTCCGGCCAAAATTCCGGCCAAAAAAAGAGCCACGTCAGATTTCCGGCGAGCCATGTCAGATTTCCGGTGAGCCATGTCAGCATCGGAAATTAATAAAAAAAGAGCCACGTCAGATTTCCGGCGGCCATGTCAGCATTGGCACTAAAGTGATCGTTTTTCAAAAAAGTTGGCACCAAAGTTATCCGAAAAAAAGTTATAATACCAAAGTGATATCCGTACACAAGTTATGGCACCAATAGTGTCCTTTTGCCCTTTGGCTCCACTATATCAAACTTGTTGCTAAAACAATCTATGATATGTAAAAATTTACCTTGGAAATTTGAGATGCTCTATATAAAAGATTAAGTAACCTCTTAAATGCTAAAAGCAAAATATATATAAAAATTAAAATTACAAATTATTTCAAGCATAATTGTTTTTACATTGTTGATATAAAGGTGGTTCGGCCCGAAACAAAAAGCTTTACCTAGCCCTTGCATTTCGGGTCGGCAAGGTGGCGAGGGCAACTTGATCGCACTCTGGCCAATAATTGCATCGTCTCGCCCTAAATGGACACATGAAAATTGCAATTTGTGAGTTTTAGGGTCAAATATATCTCCTTGCAAATAAGGTGGGACAAAAGTGAATTTAGCCATCCTTGCCGCATGGCCTGCGCCGTCCCCCACCCTAACCCTCCTAAATATTAAATTCAAGGGAAAATTACCGAATAAATCCTAAACATATTGAATTTGTGCCAATTCAGTCATTAACCTTTCAATTTGGTCAATTAATCCTAAACCTATTGCATTTGTGCTAATTAAGTCCTAAACCTTTCAATTGTGTCAAATTGGTTCTAAATCATTTGATGATTTGCCAATTTAGTTATTCTTGCCAAAGTTTGGCCGGAAATCACTAACGTGGCAATCTAGTTAGCACTGACTATCCTATATTGCATGACCAACGCTAAAGTGGACAATTCTTTTGAATTTTTTTATAATTTTTTCCTTTTTTTCCCAACCCTAGGCCAGCGAGGTCACGAGTCAATCCCCGCCTGCCACAAGCAAGCGTGTCATGGCCCTTGCCTAGATCCTCACCCAAATCCAAGCGAGGGCAGTGATGCCCTCGTCGCCCAACAGGCGAGGGTCACAGCCCTCACTCATACTAGGCGAGGACATCGCGGTCCTTGCCGGCCATAGGCGAGGGCTGCCGGCCATAGGCGAGGGTCACGACCCTCGCCTATATCCAGCAACCTACCTATGGTTATGCAGGAAGAAAAAAATAATAGAAAGTTCATGAAAATTTTAAAAAATTATCCACATTAGCATCGGCCATGCCACGTTGTGTTGGTCGTGACCGTTCTACGTGGCGTGTGTGCAATAAGTTTAGGACTAAATTGACACAAATGTAATATGTTTAGGACTAAATTGATCAAATTGATAAGTTTAGAAGTGAACTGGCACATGTGCAACAAATTTAGGACTTTTTTGGTAATTTCCTTATTAATATAAAGTTGGTTCAGCCTGAAACGAAAAAGTTTTACTTGGCCCTTGCATTTCAGGTCAGGATGATAGTGAGGGCAACTTGACCCGCTCCGGCCAATATTTGCATCGTCTCACCCCAAATAGGACAGATAAAACTTGCAACACGTGAGTTTTAGGGTTGAGATGGGATCAAATATACCTCAAAGTGAATTTAGTCATCCTTGCCGCTAGGGCTGTCGAAAGAACCTGGTCAAACACCACCCGACCCGACCCGAAAATTTTCGTATTAGGCCAGGCTGGGCTGGGCCTCAGCGTGTTTAGGTAACAGTAAAAATAATTGGGTATTATTTTGGATCTATTGGGCCCGGGTCCCAAGCCCAACCGAAATAATGAAACTCTTTCTTCTTTGTTCACCCGAATTGGCGCATGGCCTGCACTGTCCCGTACCCTTCTAAGGGCCCGTTTGGTTCAACTTTGAAAATGCTACTTGGGGGAATGTAAATACCTTTGGGTGAAAGCCCATTGGGGAAATGCAAATGGTGTTTGGTAAAAATATTTTGTAAAGCTACTTTGGCCAAAATATAGTGTTTGGTGAATTATTTTTGCAAATGGACTTTGGGAATAAAAAACCTAACTTACCCTTCGCCGGAGCCGGCGAGCCAGATCTAGCGCCGGCGGCCGTCGCCTGAGGTCGGGCGACCACCAACGGGCCAGATGTGGGACCGGCGACCGTCGCCCGGGGCCGGGTGACCCTCGGCGAGGGTCACGGGACCCAAGCGGCCACCTGAGTTGTGCGACCCAGGCGACCGGCGCCTGGGTCGCGCGACCTCGGCCGGCCGTCGCTCGGGTCGCGCGACTCGAGCGGCCGTCGCCTGGGTCGCGCGACTTCGGGCGGCCGTCGCTGGGTCGCGCGACTCGGGCGGCCGTCGAGGTCGCGCTGGGTCGCGCGACCTCGAGGTCGCGCGACCCAGCGGTACGCCTGAGGTCGCACGACCCAGGCGGCGGCCGCCTGGGTCCCGTGACCCTCGCCAAGGGTCGCCCGGCCTCGGGCGACGGCCGCCGGCCTCTTGCCGGCCCGATCCGGCGCCGGCCTCCCTCGCCGGCCACCTCACGAAGAAGAAGATGAACAATACACACGAGGGGCAAAACCGGAATAAGCCAAAATAACTAAGAGTAGTTTGGGGATAAAAAAATTTGGGTTCAGCATTCCAAATACTAGCATTTGGCAAATGCTTATCCAAATGCTGAACCAAACGGGCCCTAAATATTAAATTCAGTTTTTCATACTATATGTCTTGTATAAAAAAAGGTCCACACTACTTGGCAATAATTTTTTGTTACATTTTCAAGGATTAGGAAAACCGCACCATACTTAAATTTAAATAAATATCTTAAATTAAATTTAACCTTAAGAGAAATGCAGGACAAGATAAACGATGTGGTATAATTCGAATGTTACTCAAATATCACCACAAGCTTGACGGAGAGTCAAATTCATGATCAGCTCTAATAGGATCAAGTAATTAGAAAAGGGTAGTGAATCAATGAGAAGAACTCAAGACAATCGCCTCACAGTTTTTACTTGTTTGAAATTTAATCATAACTATTCCGCATCACTTAGACTCTAAGATCCGAGAGTGCAAAGCCTATCGTCGTAGCCTTGTCGGCCCATCAACCGTCCACAACTCTCTCTTAATGCAGAGTAACAGCACCCGCTACACACAAGCTAGTCGAAGATTCATTCAGAATACGACTCGAACTTATAATCTCATGGAAGACAACTTAAAGTACGAGGCCATCGAGCCCGAGGACGGATGCACGCAGTTAGGGGTGGGTGCAATTGACATGATTAACCTCTTTTGGTTATGCTTATTTGTCTTCAGTTTTCGAAGTTTTTTTTTTCTCTTTTCCGATCATTGCATTTCTTGAAAAAGAATAATGGAGATCAGATGTTAATCCGCATTTATATCACATTTGCCCCTGCCCTCCAAAATTATAATGATAAATAAGACGAAATCTTTTTACGCAAAACAAAATCTATTCAATACTGATGTAGCTAGCAAGGATCACCTAGAGGGGGGTGAATAGGTGATCTCAAACAATTTTGATCAATTTAAGCGGAAAGGATTGACCACAATTGAGTCTGAATGAAATTCAAATTCAAAACAGTTTATATAAACAGTGCTCTTGATGTGCAGTATGTAAAGTAAGAGATAAGGGATAGAAAAACTACATACAAGTTTATAGTGGTTCGGCTTATAGCAAGCCTACGTCCACTCTCCCACGCTAACAGCCTACTGGCTGGATTTCACTATATAATCAAGAGAAATTACAGATTCTGAGTGACAGCACTCTTGTGTATGATAGGACTCTCTATCTCACACAATCACTCTTACAAAGTATCCCTCAAGATCTTAATATTTAGCTCAAGAAAGACAAGAGAAAGGATTGGAATATGCTCAGACTTTGAACTTGTTGATTCTCAATTTCGTTCTTCTCCTTCTGCTTCTCATAAGTCTCCTTTTATACTCATCCACTACCAAACTAGCCGTTGGACAGTCTTCAGAGGATTATCTTCTAATTTTCATCTTGGACAGATTTGTATAAAATGGATTGAGTAGCCGTTGGTTGATAAAATCTGAATCCCGCTGATTATGGTCGCCCATACAATCAGAATCTTGGTTTCCATAAGTAGAGCTTTATC